TTCAAAACATGTTTCAGTTAGAAAATTCAGTTAATGCAATGGTTAGAGAGACTGCTTGATTTTTTCTTTTTTCTAGCGTTTCATTCATGATTGTGTTGGAAAATTAATTATGAATCAATAGCACATTCTTGATTCTCTTTGCAGAGAGAACGTTACCAGCGTTATGTCGAGGTTTTGCGTGAAAACCTTAGTGTACTCTCACCATCACATTCCACGGCAATACGTGTAGAACCCGTCATAGGAATTTATCGAGTGGGAGATACAAGTAAGTTGTCCACTTCTACCCAAAGCAAAATGTTCGCTTGTACAAGCATAGTGAAAGAGGAGCCAGAGGCAGAAGCAAGGGCTGAAAAAGCAGAAGAGGAAGATTCCGATCCAGAATCCGGTGGGTCAGGCACAAGCACGGACCGTTGCAGTTACCAGGAAGCAATACTGCACAATCCAGGTCCCCATTTGTTAATATCAAAATGAAATTTTTGGTTAGGTATCAGTACGATCTATGCTACGCTTAGATTATTACGGAAATTCACATCACATTGTTGCATCACCATGTTGTGATAAAATTGCTTTGAGAAATGCGTCGGGCAGGATTGTCAAAGTTGAAGTTGTTATTTGGTTAGCTATTATAGACAGTACTTAAAATGCGTTAAAGAGAACTGTTCGTAATATATGGAAGTAGGCAAGTAACCCGCCTGTCTTTGATCAGTTAAAGTTTTACAAGTTTGCTTACTTATACCCAAATACAGTTAATGATATTTCCTTTTTTGAAATTATCGCATGAGCATGAGTTTAGGAAAAAATTTGTTTAATCTGTTTTGCATTGTTTTTACATGCAGTGATCTTCTTTTAAGATGCAGTGGTCTTTAATTATAATAAAATTTGTAAGTTGGTGCTGTGGAGAGATTCCATATTTCTTAGAGATTTGTTTCATCGAGTACTACTTTATTCGGTGATACCACTTGTGTTAAATTATATTTCGTCTGAAAGTTTGAGAAAACCTGGTAATTCTTTTTTGTTGCTGCAAAAAGAGATGAAGTAGCTACAGTGTTGAAATATATTTCTTCTCGAAGCATAGGTTTCTTACCAGACCTATGACAGGAATTCCGGTTAATCTTAAATGCAGTTATCATATACATTTAAGAATTTTTTGGTTATCATGAAATGTAAAGTAAATATCAGCCATCTGAAAGATAAGTTGAGAAAGTTAATGAACACAGTGGAACGAAAATATAAGCGCAAACATGGAAAAAATGCAAGAGTTTAATACATTGCAGTTACATACCTCCTATTTAAAAGCTGCAGTTTAATATTCGACTAATTGTATTCTTTGCTGGCCTCACTGAAACTATTATGGTTTCTCTCCTTGTCGATGTTTATTTCCAGTGTGATAATGCTGCTGTAAGCAATTGAATTTCTTTGGTGAATCAGGCTACCACTTTGGGTTTTCTTTTATTCCATTATGATTACTACAAATCTATATTGAACCATCTTTTTTAAATTTATGCTAGTTATTTATTGTACAGTTTTGTTTCGTACTCATTGTATTGAAGCGATTTGTTTTCAGATCAATTTTGTATTCCAATTTTCATGCATTATTTGTAGCTATGGTAACTTTTGTAGATTTTGCTTCCTTGTTTTAAATTCACAACATTATTTTATGTGTGTGAGAATAAGTTATATTTATATGGGTCCTGCATTTAACATCTTAAAATTTGGATTAAGTCTTACTAGTTCTATTTATGTAAGCTTCCCAGCGCGGTCATCAAAAGGTAGTATCATATTATGTGGTCAACTGCATAGATGTAAGCAATATCCTAAGATTTATCAAATGTTAGGCATAACTAAAATCTATTAAAGAAACTCCTTTTTTTAATGTGCTTTTTTTTCACATGATAGCTGCTATATGTAATATTTGCAATTATAAGCCGTGGAATATTGCCTCTTGCGGTGTTACTTTCAATTCCATTACAGTTATGTAGCGTCTTCAGTTTCTTCTTGATGAACGGATCGTGTGTTTAGCGCTTCCATTAAATTGTAATGATTCCATTAATTTTAAAAAAGATTGCCCATTTTGGGTGACCGTTTATGAACATGTTTGATTTCTAACGATTGTACCTGTATGTTACTTTGTGGTTGGTTGCCGGTGATACAATATGTGGCAGTCCTGAGTATAATTCCGCAGTAGAGTTATGCATCCATTCAAAATCACCCCAGATTATCCTACCACAGTGGTTTCAGAGCGGAAGCAATGAAATCTGAAATTTCTTTGCTTCTGCTGAACATATATGTGTCTTGAAGTGGTAACATAGATAAACTACTTATAATAATCTTATTAAATTGAAGGGACAAAAGGTATTTGAAAGTCTATTTCTCTTTTTATGATTGAAGTTGATTAATAGAAATATTTCTTGTAAGCTTAGTGGTTGCTTTAAAATACTTAACTATGTATTTGTATGAACATGAGTCAAATGATTAGCTTGTTTTTTAGCCCAATGACATGAAATGTGCACTTTTGTTTTGGGATATTGGTTCTTTCAGTCAGTTAATGAAAAATTTATATTTTGTTTTTCGACGTAACATATCTGGTTTCTGCATTCTACATAGCATAACTAACGGGTTGTTTTCGTATTTTCAAATCTTCATTGCTTGGTGATAGTGATGTTCAATAAATATGCTTCAGCGACATCGTCTGAACTGTCTGTATTTACTAGAGGTTTCTCAGCTTTCAATCATATTTCATTAATATATGTGGAATCTAGTAGACTGTTCACTGTTATGGTGTTTAAAATTATCTAGCCCAAGGACAAGTTCTACTAAAGAGACAGGGAATTAAGTTCGGACTCGAATTTCACGCTGTTAGGCTTGATCTTAATTTCTTCAAGCTAAGAAAAAGAAACCAGTTAGGTAATCAATGTTGAAGAATGGACCCTGAATAACTCAGATCCACATCTCAACAATGGCTGTTTAGAATAGGCTATGTGGTCACTGTGGGATATGCAACTTTCTTGCTGTTTTGTGTTAGTCTTGAGATAGTTTCTTGCGCATGTCTTGTGTTTTTCTGTATGTTGAGTTCCTTGCTAATTAAGTCAAAACAGTACCACTATTTATTCTATTTATCTTTAAATAACGTAATGGTTATATTTCAAGTTGTGGTTTATGGTTTATTGGTAAAGCGATTTATTTTATAGCAGTAGCGAAGGATATGGATACCTGTGCACAGGGTCAACAAAATCTGGAAGGAACGGTAAATACCGAAGAAGAAGGTACTTTCTAGTCAAGAGTTATATCAAAACAGTGGCATAACTTTTGCAGATAAATGTTTTTTTTTTTTGTTAAGAACCATATCGAACCACAAAGCTTACATATTGTCGTGTCTGCCATTCAGTTACTGTTTGAAGACGCGTTTTGCTGGATATGGATTTGTAAGGACTCACCCACTGCATAAGTGAGAAGTATTTGTAGTTGATAAGCGGAATTGGAGGATATTTAGATTTAGTATACATATTGCTCATATAGGTTTGAATTGCTAGCGTTGTATCTCTTCTCGGAAGGTGGTTCAGTACTTTATGTTCATTGCTTATACTAATAATTCTATACTAAGTTCTAATTTCAAACTAGAATACTGCTATGTGTAATGTCGATTGTTGCAGAAAAAATCAAAGCTGGGCAGCAAACACATTGTTTGTGTGGAAGTAGTGATGAGTCGTCATTCATGATATGCTGTGATCATTGCGGTGTCTGGTACCACGGAGCTTGCTTGCAAGTAATGCCTCCAAGTCTCCACTTAATTGCAAAAAATCCGCCCTGTACAGAAAAGGATGGATACAGTTTGTAAATAGGAAATACTTGCATTTTTTTCTTAATGTAGTTATATTATTCTCATAATACATGATAGTTTATATAAATTAAGAAATAATTCACTGTATATTAACGTATAACTGGTAAATCAATTCATGTTTATGCCAAAGTTATTTAGCAGTCCTTTTTATTTTTTCTATGACACATCCGTTATCGTTTTATATTTATGTTTAAGGTTACTCGAACCCAAGCAAATCGTATCGAAACGTATGCGTGCCCTCCTTGTATTAGCAAAGACAGCAGTTTAAAAATCATGTACCGCGCTGCAGTGAGTTTTTTCAGTAGCTTGCAAATGAGCTCACATTTTTTTTTTTTTTTTTGAAATGAGCAGTGGTGTTTTTTTAAATACGAGATCATTCTTTTTAAATATCCTTAGTTTTTTTTTCATTTATTTTCCAGAAGAGGGAACGAGAAAAGAGCATCCATTGTGAGAAGCAATGCAAATCAAAGGGATCTAGAAACAATATTAAAATTCAAAGCAGATTGAGACGTTCTTCAAAAGATGACCATGGTCTGATTGTTGCCAGTCATGTAGATCGATTTTTTCACTGTGAAGATAACGTGCTCATCATCAGCATAAGAAATTTTACATGCATTATTTCTAAATTTGTGGACTGTATTGATACTGATTATGTGGAACTCTTGCAGAAGAAAAGCGTGGTGAAGGTTGCAACAACTGCATTAACTGTTTTCGATCGGCAGATTGTAGTAAATGTGCAAACTGTATTACTTCTGTAGAACCATGCTTAAAGCGCATTTGTTTGCAGTCAGAATGGTGGAATAAATACAAGAAAAAACAGCAACAGTTTAAAGTTTCTGGCAGAGAAAGTGATTTTGTTTTTAATTTTGTTGAAATAAAACGGGAGGATTTTGTTTGTTTGTTTTTTTTTTTACTGGACAAATCGCTGTCAAATCATTTGTAAGAGCTTGAAAATATGTTTTCATTATTGATTCTATCCGAATTTCTGTAACCTTATTACCGTAGTCCAATGCATTTTCAATCATTTACGTAAATCTTTTAAAGAACGACAGGGAGTAGAGTTACGTTAAAGTCTGTAATATTGAATACTTGAAGAATGCCTTCACTGTTAAATTTAGCGATGAATTAAGACAAAGTTTTACTTTCAGCAATTCATTCCAACATGCACTCATTCCTAGCCAAGGGCAAGAAAGAACGAATGAAGTGTGCTTAGTGAGTTGTTATATTAGTTCATTATAAATTGCTTACTGTCTTATTTCTCGTTGAACGTTAGCAACAGTTTTTAGCACAACAGATGATGACGATTATGATAACACGGGAATTTTTAAACGAGAAGGTGGTTCGACACGTTTTGGCTCGGCCGCAAGTGTTGCCAAAAAAGCTCAAAGAAAAGTAACAAAAAAAAAGAAAACCGCAGCATATCAGGTTATTACTAACTTTTGGTAGGTGGCAAATGCTTTGTGTCTTATTTGTTTATTATAAGCTTCTGTAAAAGAAGCAAACAAAATACAGAGAAATAACACTGAAAGAACTTTTCGATGTCTAAATGCAATTTGATGTTTAATATATGTTTGTCATGTGAGGTGTTATACCTTTGTTACGGCTATTTCTTTGCATTCTTGACCAACGTCCTAATTTTTATTATATGAGGAACTACATATTTGCCCATAATCATCATTGATATGGTCTAATCAGGTTTTATAATCCAAAATTTTTTAGGCAGTTTTGTGCCGTAAATTTATTTCAGACCCTCAGCATTAAAATGAAGATAATTTTGTTTTCTTAAGTAGTATGATCCACAGAATGACGGAACAATAATTTATTTAATGTTTTTAGAAACGTCAAACAAATGCAGCAGGGGGAAGAACAAAGAAGTTGAAAACCAGCGATTTTTCATTTACAACAGGTATGGCGACAAGTCATTCTTATTATTATTGTTATTCTCAAGCAGTCAGCTTTTATTTTCATTTACGCTGGTAAATGTTTCAGTTCTTATTTCACTGCATTTTATTTTGTATCACTGTTTCAGCAGGAAATTTTGCATTGAAAAATGAACTTATGCAAGTAAGTATTCTCTTGGTAATCATGAAAATTGATTACGTTGAGTGTTGGATGAGTTAGTACGGGTTATGGGAGATATTTTTCGTCTGACAATGGAATGAAAAAGGAGCTCTTTAGATATATTTTGCTTAATTTATTGTGTCTTACAGAGCAGCGCCAAAAAATTGCATCGGCCATTTATAATCGCCGCTCACATCGCCATAATCCGAATAAGGTTTGAAGTCTAATACACATATTTTTTTTTTTTTTTCAGAGGCTTCTTCAACAGTTGTAAAGCATCTTTGCTTTTATCTATATAATTTTCAATTATTATTCAATAATTGTTAAATTCCAGTAATCACATTAGTTAATAGTCTTAAGCAGCACTGTTATTAACTGTAATCAGTACTATGTTTATTTTTACAGATATTTAAATTTATAATGTTGACAACTTAATAATTCTTAGGTGAGTAATCTTTGTAGGAAAAATTAAAGCATTGTGAGGGACCCAACTGCACGAATTCCACACGTGCGCAGTCGAAATTCTGTTGCGAAGAATGCGGAATGAATTTGGCACGTGTACGTTACTCGAACTTTAGTTAGAAATGTCGTTGACTACTTTCAATAGTCTTAACGCTATTGAAAGGAATTAATTGTTCGCTGGATGATTTTAAGTTGTTTAAAATATTTGTGAATAAATACTGCTCAGTTTCTGCCGAAGTCCTTATTTCAAAATTGCCGAGTTATTTGCAGGATCGTTTACGTGTCATCTTGCCGAACCGTGTTCATTCATTTTGGGATAATATGTCATATTCTATGGAACATTCACAGCATTTACGAGATACAGCGGAAGAGCAGATTCAATTTTTCACGGTATTATATCGCTTTGAGTAATTGAAATAACTTCAAATTTACTGGAAGTTACCTCGGCTGGTTTTTGTATCGCTGGTTCGGGGAAGTTATAACCAATAGTTTTAGATGGTCCTAATGGCAGTATGTAACTTCATACATCTCACTTCTATTTCATATAGTTTCATTTTTTTTTTTTTCTGAGGTACGAAAGGGGCAGTTTCAGATAGGTTAAGGAATGAAAAGGTATAATTTCCCGTTTCAGTGTTTCAGTGTTTTTTTCTCGGCGAATCAGTAAATATTTAGTTTTCTTTGACTGAAATAAATTTTTGATAAATTTATTACTGTAATAAATGACACGCAGTAATCATGTTTTAGTCGCATATTTCCACTTTTACATCTTATATCTCAAATTTTTGATTATGATATCATTACTATATATTAGGTTATATTATTTCGAGCGATTAGTATTTCTCTCATGCATTTGAATTAAAGCCTTTGGCGAAATTTTTTATACCAAAGATTTCAAACTTCTTAAGCTAAATATCATGTCAACAGCGTGATTTGCTCAGTTTTTCACAGCAACTTAAATATCGACTAGGAAACCGTTGGAACTTCAGAGACTTATTAATGCAGTGGTCTTTCTAACAGATTAAGTGTGGTCATCCTAGCATTTTCCTTTTGTTGGATGTTGCTGTTAAGGTCGTTGATTGGTTTGTATCTCAAAGAGATCCTATGAAATAATGCTTTATGGATTCTAGATTCCTTGTAACTTTTCTTCTACTTCTGGAAATATTTTTTCACGGTATTGCTTGCTTTTATTTGGATTTACTTTTCACTTGAAAGTTTCCCTTCTCAGTCACACCTTGTAAATTTATCTGCTTGTACGTGGTTTTTGAGTCGGTGAAGTCTTTCAGAAAAAATAGATATGTTAGTGGTAGAAAAGAAGTAAGAAGTCTCGTTTGCTTTACTGTTTAAATTGTCTACTTCTCAGTCTGCGATATCATGGGTTTCATTGTTTTCTTTGCAGAATAAAGTACGCATATTCGCAGATTTTCAGGACGAATTGCAAAAATGGATTTCGGTGTGTTTTGTATTATATTGCATTTGAAGATAATATAGTTATATAAACTGTCCTTACACTTAAAATGTAGACCGAACGTTTAATCTTCTGTAAAGAATTTTTCGTGGTCAGTGTAAGGACCATGCAATTTGTTTATGAGAACTTATTTGAAGTTTTTTTGTGTTGTGTCGCAGATAAGGTTCATTCCACTTTTTTTTTTAAATCTTCTAACGGGTTGTTGTTCAAATCTTATCTAGGTTACTGAAAAGATCGAATCTGTGAGCGAAATAACTGTCAATAATTCACCGGACATGGATTTCGTAAGTAACTGATTTTTGATTTTGGAACTATCTGCATTGTTTTGGTTTGAATTCTAACGGGAAATTTATTATAGTTGACAAAATGTACTTGTTAAGGTGCTACATTGTTCTGTATGCGCTTTGGAATTTCCAGCCAAACTCATTGTAAAACATATGGAGCGTTGCTTCGTGCGTAATGAAAAACAGAGTTGCTATGGCACTCCGAATAAAGTTCGTTTTTTCAATATTAAATAAAATTAGGAGTTGAGGTACTGTGAGTAATTTTCAATAAATACTACACACATTTGCTGTGTGCGTGAATTTTGTTTGAAGGTTCTTTATGCAATAATCTTTGTCTATCATGCTTCCAAAGCTGGTGTAATCGTTATTACGTGTTCCCTTAATTTCAAGTTTCTTTTAGTCGCAAGTCAATCCGTATAATATTTTCTGCGAGCAATTTAACAAGGCCAATAATACGTTTTGCAAACGTCTTCGTGTGTTGTGTAGTGAACATTACAAGTCTACAGAGAATGCTACAAAGGTATAATGATGCTGACGTGAAGAAATACATTTTTTGTTCTAGAAATCAATTCTTTCTATCCATTCACAATTATTGTTTTTGGCATGCTAAAATTGCTACCACTTCATTGATGAAATTTTCTTGTGAGAAATGAATCTACTTAAGTTACATTTTTTGTCATGGTTTTATCGACAACCCAATTCTGGAACATCAAATGGTTATCAAATGGTTTTTTTTTTCTTCAATTCTATTGTTTGATTGTCTCTGGAACTAGTACTTATTGTTCATAAATGAAACCGTATTTAGGTGTGTGGTTATCCTTTTGCATGGAACAAAAACAAATTTCGACCTGTTATCAAAACGTTTGACGACATGCAAGCCCTCCTTCAAGAAGGCTTTTGTCATTGCCCACGGAAAAACTGTCTTCAGCACCATAATTGGGTTCAGGTCTGTGTGAAACGTTGTTTTAGATTTTACACTTTCACTTCTTAAATCTAAATAATCAAATTTAGAATGCAATGGGTTTGATCGACGTGGAACTCCTTAATCTTTTAATCAAATTAGACGAGTGGTTCGAGAAAAAAAGAACACTTCAAGTCTCAGAAACCATGCGTGGTGATGTGCTTTCACTTTTTTGCGATAAAACAGTTCGCTCCAACACATCAGTGGATAAAGATAATTCCATCCTGGTCTGCACTTCCAGTGATTCCGGTCTGGCTGATGATATGCAGTACCAGAATGCAGAGCAGTTTATGAATGCAACTATGGCAAACATAAAGGGCGCAGATTACACTGATTGCAATGATGTTTGTGACGGTAGTATGCAAGTACACTTTAAAAACATTACAGGTAAAGAGAATAACAGTAGGATTATGTATGGTCATACTGCAGCATAGGGTTTGTCAGCTTTCATTATTTATGGTTATTTGAGAAGTCATCGATCTTTGGATATGCGTTTTATTTTCTTAATCTATTTATTATTATTCGTTGGAAGTGCTGTCGTATAGTAATCGTGATATACTGATCTAGAACTTTGAAATTACTAGGTGTATATTACAGTTCGACTCTTATTCGAGAATCTCAATGAAAAAAAATTACTTTCAGACCTCATGCACTAATAGTTTCTAATAAAATCTTTGTTTTTTCGTTTGTTTACGAACATTTATTTGGAACAAGCCCATATGTTCATCTCTTTACTCATGTACACAAAACTTATATAAAAAATGATTTTTAAAGGGTATAGCTGTTGTCTCATTGTCTTGGTAGACACGTAATCGGCGAAAAAAGCAAACAAATATTTTCAGAAATCTCAAAAAGATAACCCCATTTGTTGTGCACTGTCCCGTTGTCGTTTGTGATTTCTATGTGCTGCATTATGGTAGCAATAAAATTCACTTCTTAGCGGCACAAAATTCGAATTTTAGGTTTTCTTAAGCAAACAGATGGGAAGCATTATTTTCTTGTCGTTCAGTCAGCTTCCTATATTGTTCCAGTTTGAATATGTAAGTTTCTACCTGGTGCTTCGTTAATTTTAGTACTTACAGATGTGTTGTGGTGTCCTGGAACTGATTACGTGAACTCTTTTGATATACTGCATTGTTCGTTTGGTTAAGTTTACGTTGGTGTAATTGTAGATTAATTCATTGTTAATGAAATAATATTAGAACTATACCTCGGTTAGCAGTTTTTGACTGAATTGTATTAGTAATAGTCATTTTTTATGATTGATCCGTTTCTTTATTCATTTTAGCACAATTCTTTGTTCTACCCTGTAACTTTAATTTTAACAACTCTTTTTTTTAAAGGAGTAAATTTTGCTAACGGTTCATTTTATGATGCAGGCAGAGACATTGAGTTTTTGCTCTCAAGCGCAAGTATTTCCATATTTGTGCTATTTAAGCAGTGGTGGTGCTGAGAAGCATTACTGCATCTACAGATATTCATCTGTCGCTTTGGACATGCACTGGAAGTGTATTTCGGTTCACCTAACTTTTTTAGAATGAATGAATCGAAAGGAACCACAATTCTTCTTTTTGATGTTGATGGTACTCTAACATTACCACGTCAGGTATGTTACATTATGAATGAAGATACTATGGATTTGCATGTTTTATGCATGTCCGGACCCCAAAGTTGTTACAGTTATTTGCTCTATGTATTTTACATATTTCTTGGCCATTGAGGGTGTACCGACTTTTTTTTTTTTGTGCTATTCTCCAGAAGTTGGATCAAGAAATGAGCAATTTCATGATGGAAGTGCACAAAGCAGTACCTTTAGCAGTAGTGAGCGGTTCTGATCTACCAAAAGTAGTCGAGCAGTTGGGAGAAAGCCTGGAGGATGGTAAATATTTGTTATGTAGAAGTAAAAAGTTCGGCGTCTATTGATAATGTTAATTCATACAGAATGTTTTCGTACAGCCTGATTAATTGGGCTCGGTAGTATTTTGATGTATTTTCACCATTGTGCTTTGGTTTAACATGGCTGCTTTCATTATTTCTGCGTCAACTGACTCCATAGAATTTGTTATAGTTCTGAACCGTTTTGATTATGTGTTCAGCGAAAATGGGCTTGTAAGTGTCAGTAGAGGGACTACATTTCCCGTGCAGGTTTTTTTATTTTGTCATATTCTCATACCACAGACATCTTAATTTTCTTGCTTTGTTTAATTTATTTTTCAGAAATTGGTTACACTTTTTCAAGTTTTAAACGATGGTTCCATACTTTCGTTTTTATAATTGGTTGCTTTTATTAGCACAGATGAGCTTAACTGAAATTTGACTGCTGTTCGTTTTTCTTTTTGCAAATTGGAATTGAAATACTTACAGTCAATAAAACATCTTCTTGGTGAAAAGCGACTGAAAGAACTCATCAATTTCACGTTACGAGAATTTTCAAAAATTGATTTGCCTATTAAACGTGGAAATTTTATTGAATTTCGAAATGCAAGTTCCGTCTACTCGTTTTCTAAACTTTTGAATCCTCTAAAGTGAAAAGGGAAGTAGAAAAAAAGGATTCACGACAGAAGATATAGAATAAAGGAAATTTCAATCACAAAATGTGGTAACATCGTCTTTTATCTTATGCAGTGCGGTTAAAGATTTCTGGAATGATAGTTTTATGTTGGCAATAAGTGTGGATATTTTAGTATATGACAGTATCAAAAATCCTGAAGGATTTCATCGATTTGTATTTAACATATGAAAGTACATATCCTCACACTAATCATATGAAAATTTGAATTTAGGGAATGTTAAATCTCTCACCAATAGGCCGAAGTTGTACTCAAGAAGAGCGACTGCAATTTGTGGTATATGATGAAAAACATGGTGTGCGTAAAGAATTTGTTAGGAAACTTGAAAATTTCACGGAAGGATGGAATCTCAATATTCGTATAGGTAAACAAGGCTCATTTCATTTTTTTTCTTTCAATGCACATTTGAACAATTCATCTCATAGGTGGCCAGATCAGTATCGACGTATTTCCGTATGGTTGGGACAAAAGGTATTGTTTACAGTTTCTGGATGATTTCCACACCATTCACTTTTTTGGCGATAAAACTGCACCGGTTTGTCATTATTTCATGTTCGTCTCAATAAGATATACATCGTTTTGTTATGTTTGTACAGTTAATATGCGATAAATTGTACGTTTCTGTGCATATATTTTCCTTGTTTAGGGAGGTAATGACTATGATCTGTTTATTGATCCTAGAACTACTGGATATACCGTCAAAGATCCTAAAGACACGAGGGAACAAGTCCGCAAGCTGTTGGAAACTCTCTGATAGCAATCACATTGCAATGCTTCGATGTTATTTTTATATAATAAATGTGGAGTAATAATGAGTCAGATAAAGTACTGTTAATTTTATTCGAGAACATTTTTCATTTCATTTCTATTTTTTGCGATGAATGTATAGTAACTAGACATGCTTTCTAAAGTGAGTATTTTTATTTTAAAAATTATAAAGCAAAACAAAGAGATCTATGCTTTTGCGACAAACGTATATAAATATAATAAGTGCTCATTTTCCATGCTAAAAATATGCGATTTTATTATCTTAACTATCCTTCGTACCGTAATTGGTCGTCGGTGTAAGTCATAAATTTTTGTAATAACTATCTAATCATACAAGAAATGAATGATGAAAACGTCATGAGCCTAGTTCACTAGGAGATAGTTAATGTATTACGTGGGTTGTAGAGAACTAGTATGAAATGTGATAAACATTATAGATCCGTCCGGAAATATCATGAAAGCAAATATCTGCAACTATAAAGTGAGTGTTATTGTGATGATGAAGAAAAGGCGATTCCATCAAGTATGTGTGTTTGTGTTGAATGCCGGTGACATCGAGAAGTGACTCGGCCGCGATACCAACGTTGAATTCTGAGAACATTTTTCTGTATGAGTGAGGATTTCATTTGATGGAATTTTTGATATCGGAATACACCGAAAAACCTAGTTCACATAAACTCTTTGAGTTAGTATTCCAGGAATTACTAATACTCTGGGATATACATTGAGACATACTAAATTAAAATACAACTCAGTGAATCAAACCGTGTGGCTTTTCATTAAGTGGTAGTTGATAGTTTTGATGAACCGAATTAAAATAAGGATATGAGTCTGCGTAAAAATCCGCTAGAAATAAGTCGTACATTCGTGCAGCCGTATCCTGTATTTCACTAGCCAACAGTGCGCCATTTTTTTCTAAAAATGAGGCGAGAATATAGTTTTTCCTTTCTAGAGCTAGTGATAACGTTGTTTGATTGTCAGCAGCCGAATAGCAATTGATATTTGATGAATTCCTGTAATAAAAGCGTATGTAACACTTCTGTTTATTAAATGATATCGACTTTTCCTTAGGTATAAGGTAAATAAGCTTCATTTGTTGTAAAGTTTTTTCGTTCTTTCCGTGTGAAACGATCATAGGCTGCAATTAAGAATGAAAGTATAGTGAAAGAAAGACGACTGACTTCAGCATTAAAATGATTGTAGACCAGCAACCTTGTCGTACTGCAACCATTAGAGGATCCCATCCACGATTATCCCTTATCAGAGGATCTGCCCCACACTTCAAATTGAATGTCATTGCCAAATTAAACTTTCAAAAAAAGATTGATCAGAGAGATAACAAATTCTCTTAAATTTTTTGTTAGGAATGAAAAAAGAGAATTTGTTAGGAATGAAAAAAGTACTTCTAACAAATATCGTACGCATTGCAGGGCATTATGTTCAGTAGCGCAATGTAGTGGAGTTTGGCCCATATTATTTCGCATGTTTAACAAAGATGAATGTTTTAGATAATGAAGAAGTTGATGGAGGGTTTCCTTCTTGCTATCTGAATTTGCCGCCATATGAAGAACTGTGTTGTTGAACTAAATCAGAAATTCTGTTATATCGTAATAATAATTTTCCGTGAACTTTGAAAATCCACCTTGTCTTGACTGAAGAAGTCAACACCAGCGTGAAGAAAACACAGTACAGCTCCTGCACTACCACTTTTTGCCGCTACTGCAAGAGGAGTCTCACCAAGTTTGTTTCGCTTCTAAAACTTTTTAATGAAGCCTTATTGCTAGCACATATGTAATTGTCTGAGTATATTATAGTAAATCTACATCTAGGAGTTTGAAGCGATAGATTGCGAACATCGATTTTTTTTGTTTTACAAAGCATATACGATGCACTGTTAAGCCAGTGGGGTTGATATTTCAACGGTTATAGCAAGTGGAATATTAGCTGCGACGGTTTTAACTTCATTTCTTACCCATGCATTGTTTGTAATGCAATGATATAGCTATATGCAGAATAACGGAAGAATATTTCATTACCGAAGCTTTTCCACAGTTCAGCTCTAAAGTGAACGCACCTCAGCATTCCATTTAAGCAAGAGTAACGTGTTGATGACCTCAACATGGTCACCTGCTGCAGCTAAATGAAGTGCAGTGCAACCATAACTGTCACAGTCCTCCTGATTTACTACTGGATTTGCGTCGATCATAGTATGTATCGAGATACTGACACCATGCATTGCTGCCCACATAAATGCGCTGTGACCATCATTTGTACGGAGTTCCTGAAGAAATTTTCATAAATGGTTGACTTAGTGATTAACGCAAATGCGATTGAAAGTTGAGACTTCTAGACAAAAATCCTTTTCTGAGATTTGAGCTTTGTATTTTGTGAACTTACATCATCATATTTATTAGCTTTATACAAGAGCTTAAGTGTAGCACAGAATCCACGGACAGCAGCATAGTGCATCGGAGTTGCACCATAACTGTCTTGTCCTTTTACTGTCGCACCACATTCCAAAAGTAGCACCACTTGAAGCACTCTACCTCCCGCCGCTGCATGATGCAGTGCTGTGCGGAAATCCGGATCTACAGACTTCAATTGCTTACTTAACCATTGCTTAAAAAATTACTTTATCAGTACTCTGTTTCTTACTATAAATAAAAATGTGCAAGCGTGTTTCTACCGTGATTTTCATAATTTATGAATAACTAATTCGTGAAACGAATGAAGATAACGTCAGCTGGGATATGGTAGTTTATTTGGGAGAAAACGACAAACTAACATATATACAGACCTTTCTTCCACCTTTATAAACCAAAAGAGCTTTAGTAAGTGAAACTGCATCACTGATTACTGAACACATCAACGCTGTTTGTCCAAACACATCTCGCAAGAGGACAAGCTCAGGACAGCACCTCATAATTATCTTAATTACCTCCAACCGTGCTAAATCATTTAACAAGTGAATTACAGGTCAATTGATTATCGTAATAATATGTTCAAAAACAAGTGATAATGACAACTTGGTTTACCAAACGAGGAATCTGATTTCTTTCTGATACACTCCGTTGAAGAAGCTATATGACATAAATTAGAGCAAGTACTTCTGTAATATAACAGGTGAAGAACCGACATGATGAATCAACAAAGAAATTCAACCTTTTTCACATTCAGGACATCTTTTTTCGAAAATTTCAGTCATCGTACATGCTGCCAGTTTATTATCATATTCCAATAAAGATGAAGAATTTTTAGTGAAACAAGCAAAACCGCACTTCATTGTCGCCATTTCGTGCAGCACTGTGCCTCTAAATAAACAATAACTAAAGTGAAACAAACAATACCTCCACTCTTTGCTAATATCATGCAGCTGCATAATAACAGTAAAACACATTTCTCAAAAGTACATTTCTACTTTCTAACCGTCCAATTCGCCAGAACAGCGTTCGTTTTGATGCCATTTTAAGAGCAACTACAGCGACAGATCCTTTCACGGAATTATAGACTTTGCGAAAGATTTTATTAAGATTATCAGTAAGTAACAAATTTGCGGCTTCTACACTATTCCAAAGACACGCCACATGTACTGGTGTTTGATTGTCTTGATTGCACTGTTGCAGCATCTCTTCCACTAGTATCCATCCGAAATATTTTATGATGAAACTTATTATAATCTGTAATATGAGACCTTACTCATTTTTCAACGATAGAAGAAAAAGAATGGAATATGATATGAGGCACCTTTCATCAAAAATTTGCAAACAAAATATGCGCCACCAACTTTTAAACAACGTTTTTTGCGCAGTCTGCATGCCAAATGCAATAAATTATCGCCGTTAAAGTCACGCTGCAATATAAATTTGTATGACATTCCATAACTGTTCTTCATACTAAACTGAAAACAAGAGTTTAAGTAGCATATTCTGGAAATTTGGAGGCCAAAACTACCTAAAGGTACAAAGAAAAAAAATAAATAAATAAATTGAAAGTGAAATGCATACCATCTTTTCTTGTTCAAAAAAAATTTCTAGAAACAGTTTTAAGCAACGTGCGGCATCATTATAAGTAGCGGTGTGGAGTACAGAACGACCTTTTTTGGTAATAAGTCGGGAATTGGCGCCAAGACTATAAAAATTATGATCGAGACATATTAAGAATAATTCAGAGGCTTCAGCACTCTTAAACAGACATAAAATAACGTTTTAATTTGAAACCAAAAAAAATAAGAAATTAAGCATCAGTAAGTACCTCAATAATAGTTGAACAATAGCGACGTGATCATTTGCAGTAGCCCAGTGAAGTAAAGTCATTCCTTGCAAATTCGCTGCATTAACAGACACTTTCAAAACATTGGTCAGGTATAACAAATGGAGTGCGTCACCAGTGACTGCTGCACGTACTGCGAGCAAATAATTCTGAAATTTCCAGGGCACAACTTTCTGTCTGATCATTTTTGCCTGAATTCCATCTTCTGTACCTATTACCTTACTATAATCATGTTGTAGAATAATATAAAGCATATTGAAATTTGCTTTGTAAGGATTAATTAAGATACAAAGCGTAAAATTATTTTATAATTATCTAAAACCGACAAGCACACTGTACAAAAGAGAACGAAACGCCTGTTTCTCATGGAATTTCATAACATGTTATAAATATATCATTTCTATTGATATTAACCAACAAACATCAATATCAATGTGAAGTGGGTTAAAATTATAAGAATTCGACTGAATCATAACAGATGGTCCTTGCATGCTTTCACCGTCTTTTATTTGTATATTGTCTTTGATAACCGAATGCTGCTGAAAACTCTTAACCTATTATCAATATTTTTTGAAGATATGTTTTAAAGTAAATCTGGGAACGATATTCGCAACATTTCTCTAAAAAAAAAAAAAACCGCATCCTCACAAAAATAAATGTTCAGTAACATAGTATTGTTTCTTATTTCAATGCTCGATGTCAATGATCAAAGAATTTTAAAATTTGAACAAGCAAAGAACTTCAATAAAAAGTCCCAAAAAACTAACTCACATTTGAACTTCCTTGGTTAATGGTTGTTGCCAAACCTTCATCAGTTGGCGAACTTAGTTTAGGAACTCTAAAACAAACGCGCAAAAAATATGGGAATATAACCCGAAGATGCGTCACACTATTCTTAATGATAGGTTACTTATTCGCCTCTTTAAATTCTGAAAACGGTTTCTAGTCCTTTACATTCTTTTTTTACTATTTACTGATCCTTTTCCAATTTTTTATAAGTCAATCAGACAATTTCTGATAATTTAGCTCCAGCAAGTAGCTGAAGATGAGAAGAATGCAGATGACAAGAAAGCAAATCATATAATTCGGATTAAGTTGACTTGCAAAATTCCGAGTGGAGATTTTCAGTGCTTGGAACAAAGCGAACGTTCAACAGGACTGCATCACCATCATTACTGTTTGCTGAATTATTTGCACTAAGTAAGCTGAATCCATAAAGAATAGTTCTTGTTGATGTACGATATAAGCCAGAGCGCAAGTGCTTCAGGATATTCTTCTTCCTGCTCATTGTGTGAAAATGTGAAAACTAACAATTGAAGCCGCTTCTGTAACGAAAAGAGATACTTTGAATTTCAACCATTAATCTAGCAGTCTTAAAATGTGAGATTATAAAAGCTTAAACAAACTTGATACTGCTGTAACGTAAACATATGAATCAAAGAAGGGAGGACACGAACAGAGGTATCGCAACAGTAAACGTTTGTTTGTTGCTATGCTATATATGCATAGGTTGACAGAACGACATCTTGTTTATACACCATATATTGGATCATCCTAAAGCACAACATTAATGCTCTACAAACTAACACCATTTACATTATTTCCCGCTTTCCAAAATTTGATTAATTCATTTCTACTGGCAGGATTAGATAAGGGTTGGACCTTATCAATTGATTGCTACGTAATGAACGTTTCTCTTATTATCATATCTCTTGTACTATATATTTACACCACTACCAATATCTACGACTTGACTCCAAGGATCGTAAAATGTATTTCGTGATGCGAAATATTTTGTGATGAAAAACTGCGTAGCTATTGAGTTCCTAACATACAGGTGAAAATAAAGATGGAACAGTGTCATTGTTATGAGTTTATATTCCATTATTTCTTCTGTCATCTCATATTTCCAAAAACTTAAAAGTAGGTGACAGATGCTTTCTGCTTTTTTAATTGTATTATTAAATTTAAGAGAAAAAGTCCTAAACTTGGTATAAAACACAAATCGAGAAGATGACTAGTTTTTTCTTTTGATTTCTTCTAACTTTAATGGATTTGCTACTTACTTCGATATAAAGGATAACTGTAGGTCGATGTCAAATAAATCTACGACTTCTTTTTGAAACTTCCTTGTCTTGTTGATACGTTAGTCGAGTCGCTTAATTTAGTTATGAATGTTGAATTAGTTTCCTCCTTGTTTGATCCAGCAGTATAACAGTACAGCATTGTAAACATAAATGTTTTTAAAAAAAAATAAATGTTTCTTCTGAAAAAAAGAAACATAAATGTTTCTTCTGGTACAACTGTTTGCTGCAAGATCAGCTCCAAGACAGCGTAAGATAAGTCCGACTTGTTATCCCAATGGCTCTTGTTTCTGAGTGTACATTTCTTTTCTTTTTATAATCTTTAGTAATTTTCTTTGAATTTGTAGTTGATTCAGAACCACTTAATTCGGGTTGTTCCGTTGTGACTAAGCTGAAGTTTTTCCCTTATTGGCGTATGTTTTAGCTTAAATTCCATTAATTCCCCAAACAATTACTGGAATTTGGTTACTGGCTATGATTCTTCCTTCTTTTCTTGATAAATTTTTTCATTTTTTTTTCCATTCTGATAATTAATTCTATGTTCAAGGAGTATTGCAATATGCCTTTGTAAATCACTCAATATAGAATATGAATTCATTATCCAGGTCTTCTCCTTTTGGCTTCTATGCCATTACTTACTTGTTCATGCTGTACGGAAAATCTTCATTTCGACATTTTGATAACTCTCTTAAATTGCAACTCAATTGATAATGAGTTCATTACCAATTCTCATTCAAACTTCAAAACAATTTCTTTGAGTTATTAATATTCGTTTATTGACTAATAATTGTCATAAATATTACTAGCAATCTTCCATGAACCTTTACAATAATTCCTGCCTGTGAAACATCAGATTGCCCAAATCAAATAACTTCCAAGACATTAAGTGCTGGCGATGTCGTTACACCTAGACATATGGTTTCTTTTGTGGTCTATCGTGGGTATGACTTCAATCTTATGGTTTGATTCTTCATAATACGAAGAATTTGGCTTCTAGTGATGTCTTCATTTCGTTGTGCTAGTTCTATCAAAAATTTTTCTTACCTTATTGATATATTTTGATATATCTAATACATGCTTCAATTGACGTCCTTCAATTGATAACTTTATCTAATACACATGCCAGCGATTTACTCTCAGTAAGAATTGCTGTACATCAATGTTTTGAATTTCCACATGTTTTGCCATAAATTTTATTCCATTCTCCCAGTAGGTATCTTCCACTCTCGATCTTTTTTTTTGACTGAGTGCAGTTCATTGATAGTGGTTTTTTTATAACAAAGGATTTGCCATATTTTTCCTTCACGACCTTTCTTATAACATTGTAATTCCCAGGTAAGATATTTCACAGTTTAGTAGAGCCTGTCTTTGAAACAAGACATAAAATAATTCAATTTTTGGACGTCTGGGATATTTTGAAGATTACACTTTAAAACTGCTTTCCATAATTTTAGATTACCACTAAACATCGGTAGTTAGGCAAACTCACTGTTGAGTGATGCACTTCTGCTGGTAAGCAAGTCTCTCTTTCTTTTCATTTTGGTTTAGGATTAGATTACTGGGTCGGAATCCTTCTTGTACTTGGTTAAAGCTATAAAAATTTCTTTACCTTCGTTTATCTTTTGTTCTCGACCATTTATGTGCATTTGTCTTCTTTCTGGAAGTGTAAAGACAAATTTAGTATCTTTCTTACTGCCCTGTTTCCTTGCGAAACAAAGTCATTTTCCTTTCTTGATAGTTCAGATCGTTGATTTCTTTGTCTTCGATACTGGTAGATTCTCGAATCTGTACTGTTTACCTGTACTTCGTGGAATAGTTTATTATTCAAACCTCAAACTTGAGTAATTAAGCCACACATTAACATTAAATATTATACAGCATTACAATAATGAATTGATACCTAACACACAAATGTACCTTAATTATAAACCTCTTAAAGATACAAGCAAACTAGACACTTCGCAACCGATCCGTACCAAACAAGGAACTATAATGAATGGCTTTGTAAGGAAGAAAATTGGGAGGGATTTTATGGGTGTTAAGGTTACAAAGTAAATTAAAATCACTTAAAACAATACTCTTTGTTCACTACATTATAGCTTCGCATTTGTAGTGACAGATACATTCCATCCACTTTGCGATTTCGAGAGTGCGAAAGTACAGCTTGAGGTGCATTAACTCGCCCTAATTCTTTTTCTGACCTCGTGCTGTTGACGATTTTCTTCTTTGTCAACACTTTATCTAATGGTGTAAGATTCATCCTTTTGACCTCATTAAGAAATTCTAGTTTCTCTTTTAATTGCACTTTCGACTATAATAGCTGACAATCCCGGCTTGTAACACCAAAATATTTGTAGAGAATTTACTAGTTCAGGAGATTTGGCAGTGTCGGAATTTGGTAAGAGTCAATAACCATCTTTAGAAGCTTTTTTATTTCTTGATCTTGGAGTAAATTGTTTCCACATAATTTGACAATATAAAAAATTTGACAATATAAAAACAACACAGGAATATTACAAACTTCTTTAAGAATATAGTAGTATAACAGTTCATCAATAAAGAATATGATTATTACCGAACCGGGAGAATTATTTGACGCGTTTACATAACGTAGATGTATTCTTGTCAAAATGGGAGTCAACATAAGCCATCTGTTAGGTTTCAAAAATCATCGTATGGTAATCACGTTATTTAATGCAAACGAAAGAGAGGAAGAGACTCATGTGCAATAATCCCAGATGCGGAATGATTTATGAAGATTTAATCATAAACGTCAAGCTGTAAACAACTTGCACATTGGATGTTTATTAGAATAATTTGGAGGTTCGCAATATTTTAAATTCGCAGCACCACTACTATAATACGGGGAAAATGTGGTTTTCATGAAATTGAGGAATATTTCTCTTATATCGCGATAATAATAATGCATTTTGAATAACATTTTTATCCAGCTGGGATGATGCGTCCCACACAGCGAAGGAAAACAATGTGATAATGACAATGCGTTATTGGTACAGTGAAATTTTAAAACAAGCATGAAGTGAAGAAACTTCACATTTATACAGAACACATATTATCCAAATGTCCTTTTTTTTTTTTTTGTAATAGTAGAAGTAGGTTTGGGGTAATGATGAGCAGTTATGACACAGCAGAACCAACAATTTCGTGTACTGCAAAAGTCACTGCATAAAACGGCCACGGGCCACTAGAGTACATGAAGAGGCATATTTGTGAGAAAACTTAAACAGCTAAAGGCAAATTAGAAAATTTAGCACCAAAGGATAGACACTCAAATGAAAGTGAACTATCAACCCAGTAGAAAGCCGTTGAATAAAAGACAGACTTTCCAACCGAAAGATCCAGCGCAAGCATGAAAGCAACGTCTGAAACAATTTACAATTCAGACCAAAAAAATATGCAAAAATTAGACCAGAAGGCGGGCTTCCACAAACATCTATCAGCGCAATAAATGATAATACACAGATCAAAATAAGGTAAATAAAGCAGGCACATCTATTATATCCACAAATAATTCTGACTTGTGAACTTCAAACTTCTTAACAATGCAGCCAAGTGTCAACATACCAGTGGAACATTACTAAGCTTTAGAACATCACAATAACATTAATAAACTATAAGTTCCAATTAATGACGAAAAGTAACTAAAATCATAGTGCAAGTAAAGACGAACTATGTTTGTGCAACAAGCGATGCGCAAAAATTATGCATATACACGGCAGGAAATTTAATTATACAATCTATAAAAACCAAAACAATGTCTACGAAAGAATGAATATACCGGGATTTGACTGTAATATTGTATTATGACTTCAAGAAATCCATGATAAAGAAATGAACAGCATACCGGATAATTTAAACATCCGAGTAAGAACCATCTAGGACACGGTGAAATCATAAAGGCAACTCTCAGCACTCTTCAACATTCTGCACAGTCCATTATAACTCGCACAGTAAAATAGTAAAATGTTAAAAGTAACCACAAAATATATTTACAAATCACAAGTAACATTTCGCTTAGATATTATGTTGCAACATTTATTACGTAACTGGCATCTCATAAACAGGTGGTCAAAAAATTAAAGAGTCCAACAAAAAGTTTTAGCAGAAGATGAACCGGTTAACTTGAGAATAACGACTACTATCATGAAATCAAAGTTAACGAAATGATGCCACAAAACAAGTATATTCATCAATTATGAAAAACTACCGTTCAACATAAATTAATAGATAAACTTATTATATTTCGATAACTTAGGAAATGAAAAAAAGCGAAGGAGATAAAGTATGCGAGAAGGATCCATTTCTGAAACAGTGGACAAAATTAGATTTCTTTATATTCAGTTCGTGAAATCTTGATGCATGTTGCATTTTGTGCAAGGAGGCGTTTAAATAGAAGAAAACGACCAGTTCTTATACAAAACTGAGAAAAGATACTGACAAGTTTTTAGAAAGATCCAGTGGGTGAGCGATTTAATACAAAAAGAGAAGTAACAGTAGCTAAAAATTTAAGAAAAGAGATAGCCATATGATATAGGCGAAGTTATGACTTGTAAATTTTGATGACATCCTCGATCTTTTTGCGACATATGGGGCATTCTCCATTCAAGTGCCATGTTTCTGTAGCACATTCGAAACACATCGACATATGTCCACATGTGTAGATCACACAGTTTACCTAAAATCAAATAAATTATGAATGACTCCAGCACATAACCGCTGATTTATTAACCAAACCTTCAAATTCAAATGCAAAACAAATTACTGGAAATTATTCAACCCAGATAAATGTCAAACCACTCCCTGCATTCATTGCAACGGTAAAATCACTTTTCTTTAGTATACGTTTTTAAGATTCTTTTCAGTCATTCTACAGAAGAAAAAATTTACTTTAGAGTTCATACAAATCCTACATTCATCGCCAACTTCACCCTCATCATCACCGTACCGTTGCTGGTGGCTTTCCGTCTGTGCGAATAATGGTGGACGTAGTGAAGGATGTAAAGGTGGCCTTCCTGGCAGAAGCCGCACAGGAGATGACCTTCAATGTACACATAAAATTCTGACTATTAACTTCGACATACTTACAAATGACATGTAAAGTGCAGTTCTACATTAATCAAATTTTTACCTGGCTGGAACCAGAGGTGATGGGAATTGCGATCGATGAGATATGTTGGGTTCGTTACCATGAAGTCCATGAATGTTATCTAAATTTTCCAAGAAGTCGATGAAATGCTCCCCACTCATGAATACCGGCCTCGAAGGCATAGCTACGGTGGGTGCTGAAGTAGGTACTCTCCTTTCTGCTTCTGAACAGGAATAAATTTATACTGATACCAACTTATCCATTCCCCTTGATCAATATTTAAAATATTTGGCTGTTGAAAAGCTTGATAAAGAACACAAAAAAAAAAAAAATTACGTGAAGAACATGGTAGACGTAAAAACACTCCGCTCAAACTGTCACCAGTTTCCGACTGCGTTCGTCTGGATAAAAAAGGAGAACAGTTCTCACGATTGCCATGCGTAAGATGAGCACTCGTTGTTGGAAAAGCACATCTAAAAGGAGCTGTCAGAAAAAAAAAACACATTGAACCCACGACGGAATCCACAAGTGCTTCCGTCGGTGATTCGAAATAGCTGATAAGAAAAAATCCACAAATACGATAAAACTTACAATTCACTACTTGATCTTCCAGCATCTGTTCGTATTTCAGGAGATAAGTCAAGCAAACTACGAGAAGTTCTTGTGATTGCTGGAACTGGCGGCAAACGCACTGCCATTTGATACGCTGCTACTATTTTAATACTTCCTATACAAAAACAAATAACTTTATATTGTATTAATTATTTTGAAGTCTTGCAATTTTTAGCGTGAATTTTGGCGTAATGCAGACGGTCTCAGTATTCGTCACGACCAAACTTTAGCTATCAATTATGTGTACATGTTTATACATGTTATTTGAGATCATAACTCGTTAATGATATTAATATGTAACTTCTATCAAATCAAATAAAATCTTGATGACATCGCATTGAATCTTCCCAGTATCTTTATCAGATTCAAAATTACCTAGTACACGTATTTTCTGAGTCGTGCCGTAAACATCGAAATATGCCCACAGCTTCACAGACGTATCCACATGAATGATGACTCGAGGCGTGAGGTTGTTCTTCGCAAAATAAACCTCACCTTTAAAATGACATAATGAAATGAGAACTCTACAAAATGTTCTGAGAAAATTTCTTGCTGAAAACGAGAAACACCTTTTTCGGTAATCCAAAATGATAGTTCATCACTAATTTTAGGTTGTGCAGCTACATCTTTTATGCCAACCCAATATTCCGGTCTTTCTAAAAGATCATCACTATCCACGGGAAGTGTCGACCCTTGCAAATTAACCGGATCACAGCAGGTCAATCCGAACGCCATACTACCCGTATAAGCTGATTCTATATCCAATATCTAAAAACAAAATGTGATTGTAAAAAAGAGTCCCAAAATATGCATAAAATCACTCTCAAACTAGATTTTTTTTCACATATACTCTGAAAGTATTGTTCACATACGACAAAAATTATAAATTTTACATTTCAAACGCAACCTGAATCACGATTTTTTCATTTAGTGCAAGAGGTCTGGATGTGAAAACGTAACCACAGGCATATTCACCAGCATGTCTTTCAGCAACAGTATAAGCGTGAGTCAAAGCAACATGCTTTCCACGGACAGTATGGAAAGTTAACGGTGTAAACTGTACGCCTGAAAAATCTATTTTGATACTAAGGTAACGAAGTGGGAAACTCTTATAAATTAATTTGAAATGATACACATCATACCTGTATGATATTTCGGAGGAGGAAAATCTGGCCGCGTATTTGAACTGTTTCTAGGATGTCGGTGATGCGTCGTAGTGCTCGTCGTTGCAATTTGTGTTTGTGAAACTGATGTTGCTGAAAGAGTTCGACTGCTTGCACGATTCCTACTCACTGCTGACCGTGCTGACCGAAACCTCACTTCATTCGGATCTGCAAATTAACCGAACAGAGTAAGTATCGATATAACATCGAAACGTGATTCGCATTACACTGCAAAAAATTAATAAACAATCCACACAGCGCTCAAACTAAATCAAAATATATATAACATCAAGATAATCGAGATCATGAAAAATCCACTTTTACTGTTAGATTTTCGGAGAGTAACGGCTCATTGATTGGCCGAGCTAATTGAATCATGGCCAAGTTCATCATGCAAATGAGTGCCTTTCTACGAATACCGGTTTGAAAAAAACTTTGTACGGCAATCAACTAGGAAAAAGTATTTACCAATGAATTCAAGTGAGGAACTATTCCCATATATATCAACAATAACCCATAAGGGCGAAAACACATTGATTCCATTCAGAAACTGTCCTTTTAAAACACCATTTATTCCGTAATAAAGTTCGCCCTCAGCGTTCACATAAAAATGCAAAATTGAACCGGCGACAGAGTAACGCTCTGGTAATGCTTTTGCCCAATAGCCTTCTTTACTCGTTAAATCCGGACATGCAAATCTAGAAAATTGAATATTAGAATATTATACATTGCAAACGACAACAGACACTGAAAAATGGAGTT